AATCTCAATTGTAGCCTGTGTTTAAAAAGTATAATACAGTGATAGAATGTTTCAGAAAAAAAAATATGACTTCCTGGCTGGGCACGGTGGCTTACACCTATAATCTTAGCACTCTGGGATGCCAAGGCGGGTGGATCGTTTGAGCTCAGGAGTTTGAGACCTGCCTGAGCAAGAGTGAGACGCCACCTCTACTAAAAAAATAGAAAGAAATTAGCTGGACAACTAAAAATATAGAGAGAAAAAATTAGCTGGGCATGGTGGCACATGCCTGTAGTCCCAGCTACTTGGGAGGGTGAGGCAGAAGGATTGCTTGAGCCCAGGAGTTTAAGGTTGCTGTGAGCCACGCTGATGCCATGGCACTCTAGCCAAGGCAACAGAGCAAGACTCTGTCTCAAAAAAAAAAAAAAAAAAAAAAAAAAATATATATATACTATATGACTTCCTGGAAATTTGATCTGTGCACCTAAGTGCCTTATGTGCATAACTACCTGTTGTCACCAACATGTAGCTCTTCAAATACTGTGGTAATTATAAAAGGTTATCTCATATTTCATGACAAATAATTTATTTACTTCAAGCCCTTAGTTATTAACTGTAACAGAAATAAAAGTGCATAAATATGGCTTGATGTTTTTCTGTGGGGAAAAAAATGAAATGAATGTCATCTCCGGCACACAAAAAGAAAAATGAAGGGGGGAGTGTCACAAAAGCAATCAGCTCAACCTGTTCTTTAGAGAGCCCTGGTACAGATCAGGCAGAGGAAAGATGCGTGATGAATGAGGAAGCAGCCTGTAGCCAATTCCTTAATATAACGCATCTTTCAATTCCACATCACAGAGGCATTTTATAAATAAAATTGACAGTGTATGCCCATATTCAATTTTTTAGAACAGAAAAAAATGCTCCTTATTTTTTTCTGTAATCATATCAGGATGACTAGAAATCATGAGAATTTTCTTCCTGGCAACCTCAAACTATCAAGTCTTAGTTTTCATGGAATTAAATATCCTGTAATATAATGTTAAAGTGGTCTTTTATTAAATTATTTGAGTTTTATTATAAGATATTATTTTATTATATTTTGTTTTATTATATTATATGTATATTATATATTATTATATATTTTATTATAAGATACTTAAACTATTCACTTTGCTGATGGAAAGACACATAAAAATTGTCCCATTTGACCAGTTCTCAAACAGGGTGAGTAATAATAATGACATATAGAATCTTACAAATCCTCCCCCGCATTTTCTTTCAAATATATACATGGAGAGAATATACATACATTTAACACTAAGTGCAAAGGGGTAAACTTGGTCTCATAGGGAACATCCAGAAGATAAAAAAAAGGAGAGGTCAAGTGCAGTCAGTCAACTACAAGCCCACACTTTCAATGTTTGTTCAAAACTTCCAGTAAGCATATGTGGTTCCATCTTGTGGAAATTTAAGTTTAGCCAGGAGCTGGCTTATTTTCCATGTTCCCATCTCTGGCAGCAAGAGAGATACAGACTTGCCACTTTTACTAGTCTCAGCTCCTTTTGCTCAAGAGATATACATAATATGAGCCTATGTGACCGCCGAGAAAGGCATTTTATCACCTTCTCATGTGCTCTGGAGCACAGACAGCACTGGATTTGTTGTTATCTCAGTCCTGCCACACTGTTCACTAGCAACATTTGAAGTCAGGGTACCATCTTGATTTGCGCCACAACAGTAGCCAGTTTTCATTGCCTACTTTTTAATATTTAATCCATGAGGTTGACACTATATGGTATCATTGTGCACGATGGCTAATCTAGTAAAAATTATGGCCACAGCTATATATGGTTCTAATGCTTCTAAAAACCTGGAATATAGATCACGCCTGTAAATCCTAGGACTCTGGGAGGCCAAGGCAGGAGGATCGCTCAAGGTCAGGAGTTCAAAACCAGCCTGAGCAAGAGCAAGACCCCGTCCTAAAAATAGAAAGAAATTAGCTGACAACTAAAAAATACATAGAAAAAATTAGCCAGGCATGGGTGGCGCATGCCTGTAGCTCCAGCTACTCATAAGGCTGGGGCAGAGGATGCTTTGAGCCCCCGCGGATTGAGTTTGATGTGAGCTACGCTGACGCACGCACTTTAGCCCAGACAACAGAGTGAGACTCTGTCTGAAAAAAAAAAAAAAAACCTGGAATATAGATAGTTTAATCATCATTCAACAGAACAGGCAGCTAAAGTTGCCACTATGAACATAAGCTGTACAGATTTTAAGATAAACAGAGACTGTAAGCTCCTTAAAAGTTAATCCAAAAATCTCTAGTCATCTTAATTTTAGTTTAGTACTCTAAAATAGAGAACTATCACAGAATATGAGACAAAGTGTCACAAATGCTAAATCCTGTATCATTTAATATGTATTTTCTCTGGTAGGTTAGATTTCCATTATTTTGGGTCTTGTTTCTACATATTAACTTAGATATATTTTTTTCTTTGTATCACCTTAGTGTTTGATTCTAATTCCATAAACTTCTATTATTTTCCTAAAATCATTCATATTCGTCTAACTTTTCATTTATATTAATTTAGCTTTCCTTCTAAAAACTGAAAATACCCACTCATGGCCAGTTGAACAGGCAACTAACACTCAGTTAGGTTCATCTGGTGTCTCTGTGTCAGCATCATTGTACTGTATTATCAAGACTTCTGATAAGAAGGTAGTTTCCTTCTTTCAGAAATCAAAAAAACTCCTCGCAAGTTCTAGAACTATTCAAATATGGCACAAAGTTATCTGCATATAAGGAATGGTGGAGATGGGAACTCCACCAGTAATCAAGAGCCATTCATTAAGCAACGGTCATTTAGTGGGAGAGCCACAGCATTGTCTTTATGCCTCTCTTTCAATCTCTCTTTCCCTCACGGCAGGAAAGGAAGAAAGGAGAAAGAAAAATCACACTTGTCATTTAAATGTTCTGAATCCATTTAGAAAGATATTTTAAATTACTCTAAGTTATTGCTAGAGACACATCTACGAGATGTTATATTACCATTTTTCAAAAAGAGAGAGATAAAAAGGAAGTTAGCCAGCCAGAAGTTAAATTAGCAAAGAGACCAAGATTCAAACACTCATGTCCTTGTATATACTTGTGACTTTGCTTAACTGGTGCAAAGTACATTTCATATTTTGAGGAATAAATGAGACCAAGATTAACCATGTACTTGTACTATTTGGGACTTTGCTTAACTCTGCAAGGACATTTCATGTTTAGAGGAATAAGTTAGATTTAATAAATGATAATATTTACCATATGGAAGAATAATTTGAAGAAATAATAATACACATCTATTCTTTCTTTATTATTAAATCTTTTTTCCTAAATAAAATACTTTAGAAAATTTAATCTATTGGAATATAAAAGCCTGTTGATCACCTGAATGAATTACACATGTTTCTGTGATGTTAAAAGTCACAACATTAACCTTTGGATTAACTAAAGAGTGCTGAAATCCATGTGGATTTCTAGCAGCTGGTCAATATAAAGTTTTCCTAACCCTGACCTGTGGCTTTGGCTCATATAAAGGTACAGGATTTGAAAAGCACAGTTTGTTCCACACTGTGAAGTTCTCTAAGTTGTATTCAGTGTTTGGGTGCCAAATCATGTTTACAAGGCACCTGAGCAAATACTTTGCCAGTGATCTTTTCTGTTTCTAAAATTAAACTTAAAAATATAGGGCTTTGCTTTTAAAGCAAATCCTTCATTATATAGAAAGGAAATGTGAGCAAAAGGGTTATATATAGGATCTCAATACACTGCAATTCCATTGTTCTGGTTTTGAAATTCCCTGTGGAGTCACTTGGTTGCTCAGTGCTGAAGGGCACTAATGTGTAATTAATGTGGTAGTAAACAGATTACTTGGCCAGATACATCAGCAAAACATAACCCTCTTTTCACGAGTACATGTACAGGTTTATTTTAACTGTTTGTTTTGGGTTTTTCCACAGCTATTAATATTACTCAGCCCAGGTTCAGTGGTACAGATGCCTTTGGATACACTTCATTCTTGGCTTATTCACGGATCCCAGACATCAGCTTTGATTATGAATTCCACTTGAAGTTTCAGCTGGCAAACAACCATTCGGCACTGCAGAATAACTTGATATTTTTTACTGGACAGAAAGGCCATGGTAAGATTAATTGAACCTTCTAGGACTCTTGTCTAGCTCCTTTAAGAATACATTAGAGGCCGGGGGATAATAATTTAATCCATGAGGTTGACACTATATGGTACTCATTGTGCACGATGGCTAATCTAGTATTATGGCCACAGCTATATATGGTTCTAATGCTTCTAAAAACCTGGAATATAGATCACGCCTGTATCCTAGGACTCTGGGAGCCAAGGCAGAGGGATCGCTCAAGTCAGGAGTTCAAACCAGCCTGAGCAAGAGCAAGACCCCGTCCTAAAAATAGAAAATTAGCTGGACTAAATAAATACAAAAATTAGCCAGGCATGGTGGCGCATGCTGTAGCTCAGCTACTCATAAGGCTGGCAGAAGGATTGCTTGAGCCAGGAGTTTGAGTTTGATGTGAGCTACGCTGACGCACGGCACTTTAGCCAGACAACAGAGTGAGACTCTGTCTGAAAAAAAAAAAAACCTGGAATATAGATAGTTTAATCATCATATCAACAGAACAGGCAGCTAAAAGTTTGCACTATGAACATAAGCTGTACAGATTTAAGATAAACAGAGACTGTAAGCTCCTTAAAAGTTAATCCAAATCTCTAGTCATCTTAATTTTAGTTTAGTACTCCATAAAATAGAGACTATCAGAATATGAGACAAAAGTGTCACAAATGCCTAGAATCCTGTATCATTTAATATGTATTTTTCTGGTGGTTAGATTTCATTATTTTGGGTCTTGTTCTTACATATTAACCTAGATATATTTTTTCTTTGTATCACCTTAGTTTGATTCTAATTCCATAAACTTCTATTATTTCCTAAATCATTCATATTCGTCTAACTTTTCATTTATATCTAATTTAGCTTTCTTCTAAAAACTGAAAATACCCACTCATGGCCAGTTGAACAGGCAACTAACACTCAGTTAGGTTCATCTTGGTGTCTCTGTGTCAGCATCATTGTACTGTATTATCAAGACTTCTGATAAGAAGGTAGTTCTTCTTTCAGAAATCAAAAATCCTCGCAAGTTCTAGAATATAACAAATATGGCACAAAGTATCTGCATATAAGGAATGGTGGGAGATGGGAACTCCCACCAGTAATCAAGAGCCATTCATTAAGCAACGCTCATTTAGTGGGAGAGCCACAGCATTGTCTTTATGGCTCTCTTCCTTCTCTTTCCTCACGGCAGGAAAGGAAGAAGGAGAAGAAAAATCTTGTCATTTAGAATTTCTGAATCCATTTAGAAAGATATTTTAAAATCTCTAAGTTATTGCTAAAGACAATCCTACGAGATGTTATTACCATTTTTCAAAGAG